TGATGTTAAGATTCTTCTACTTGATCAAAATTCTTAGGGACCTTCAGAGGGCGGTCCGTGTAAGTGTTCTCGAATCATTGTGGTCTTGTAATAGTAAAGAAAGTGGGAGTTAAAATCATTCCACGAATCTGATCTGTGTTATGAATTTCGCGTTAAAAGCAAAGCAAAATAGCTTGGTGAACAAAAAAGGAGTTCGCAAGAGATTGCAGAAGAAGTTGGCGAACAAAAGCAACAGCGCAGCCACAGAAGTGGAACAAGCGAGAATGGTTTGTGGTGCAGTATTCTAATGATAATACACTCAATATTCTAATACATGTTAGTTTTTGCAGCTAATTTGTCCTATCCTTGACGAAAAAGAATGATTTTTATTTTTTGCCGATTTTGAAGTAAAAAACCAGATATCTGTCTTGCATTCCAACAACTCGGAATTAAGCAAGGATATGACTCAGCAAGTCGGTCAAGCATTCTCGGAGGAGTTGGGCAAAGCCTTTGTGCAATGCGGCTACAAGTCGCCATTTTCCCAAATCCGTAAGGGTGCCAACTGTTGTGTTCAATGCCAATATCAAAAACAGTGGCTTAGCATCTATGCTTGCCCTTGAGCAGTACAGTGGAGTTCAGATGCCCACAATCCTGAAGGACGACATGGTTAGTGTATTCCTCTTTATATTGATGTGAAGTGCATGCAAAAAATACTGTGCATTATCTCCTTTTTATTTCAATTTGCAGAGGATGGAAACATACAAAGCCTCAAAACTAGCGTACCTTCTTTTGCATGAGAAAAATACTACAGAACTGCCTGAACAGATTAATCAGCTATGACAAAAGATGCAAGACAAGAAGAGCAAAAGAAAGCCATGAGGAACGAGTACCCTTTGATCCTGTTACTAAATATGCCGTGTATACGTATGTCAAGGAGTTAATGTCGGTGGACAGTGGGCACAAGTACTTTGCATTGTCAAACTATGCAACTATTGTAATAGCCCATTATCAATGGAGAGAACTATTGTAATATATATACTTCATGCTGTGTGTGCTGTTAGACCTTATGGTGACTATTGTTGTGAGGACTTAAAACACTGATAGCAATTTGGGCCCAGCTATACGCATCATTCATTTTTCTTTAGACCCAACGTCAAGGCTATCTAGATATTTGCATCGCTAACACACTTGTGGCGCTTGACTGTTGTCAGCAAGTTGGGCACTTGTTACCATTTGAGCGTGCATTATCAAGTATTAGTTGATTTGTATTGTGTTTATTTTTGTTTTTTTTCCTGTTTGTTCTCTGCAAAGGAAGAATCTAATATGCAAACGCATTGACAGGCTGGATGTACATGTCCATGTATCTTCATCCATATTCAACGAGCTTATCTGCAAGAGCCCAACAGGTCAGTTGAGGCAGCTCAGCCCCGCTAGCGCGGCCCAATATACCTTTGTCACTTTTCTTATCATGTTTCTGCATGGTATACCTTTGTGACTTTTATTGTACTGTTTCGGTTAGATATACCTTTGTGACTTTTATTATACTGTTTTGGTCAGATATCACTCTGTGACTTTTCTTATCCTGTTGCTGTTCTATGGAGAAGGACATGTCCTTCCTCGGCCATTCAGCAGATCAATGTCAATTCGAAAAAACACGCAAAGAAGAAAGAAAGTGAATCTAGTAGGCCTAGTACCCTGAAAACAATACAATTCCCAAATGGTTAGTAGAGCAGATTATGATAGCGATTTTGAGTTGCATTACAGTAAAACCAGAATAAAAAATTCCTAAACATTGCACCCCATTCAGAAGGAACAATCCTGCAAATACAAAAACAGATGCAACTTCAATTACATGCATCACAAGAGGGTCACCAAGTAACTTAAATACAAGCTCTAACTGGTGGCATTCCAACGATGGGGTTCTGTAGTACTATGCGCGGCATGAATTTTACTTTATCGCTCCTTTTTTGTTGGCTCTGGTTGCATTCCAAAGATATTTATGATGTTTACCTGGGGTTTTGTAGTACTATGTTTCTGGCTCATTTTTGTTATTAGAACAGAAAGAACTGTTTGCCCATTTTGGGAGCAGTTAGGTATTGTAGGACACATTTTTAAATTGTTTGTTTTAGTTGTATTGCTAAGGGATAAGTTATTTAGTTGTGGATCAGTTTGACTTAAGTTGTATCATAACTAGATCCAATCTGTTTAGGAACCACTTATAAATCTAATAACATAAGGAGACATTATCACCCTTTCAAGTAAAAAAAGGAGAGAATTTGTCTTTCTTTCCTTTATGTTCTGTCACCCATTATATGGTCACATACTATGTACAGTTACTCTCTCGGTGCACATATGTGCATCACAGGACCTCATCCGGTCTCTTTTTTGGGCCCTAAAAATGAAGGGAAAAGGGAAGTTAGCATGCATTCAAATATAGCTTTTCGAAACCAGGTCTCTATTTAGTAAAGCTATGGTCGGTCCATGGTATTATCTATGACACTGAACTTTGATTATAACAGAGTGGTATCGTCTACTACTCAGAACTTTGGTTTATAACATATACTATTACTTGTTGAGCCTCTACTCTACTCCTTTGTTCAGTATTCTGACTGTTCAAAAATTTGCAGGCGGCATTTTCTGCAGTGCCCTTCAACCTTGTTGAGCAAGAATTTTGAGAAGCTTATTCAGTGTGATCAGCGGCTGTATCAATTGAGCCAACAACCAGAGATCGCATTAGACTCTGCATTGTTTGAACCTAGGTGCTCGATATTTGAGGATCCGGTTGAATCAAAATGCGCTGGTTTTACTAATTTGAAAGATGAACATGAGGCTCTACCTGGCTATTCCGGTTCTGTGTCACCATGTGCCGGTTCCTCCATATCTGCTAAGAATGAAAACAATGATTCCTTGGGAATGCCAGCTGAATATCTTCCTCAGACAGTAGGAACAGGTAATTTAAAGCCTATGATGGCATCTTCTTCATTCGTTTCTGCTCTTGTGAGTTGCGTTGCCTTACTGCACTGCTTATCAGTACCTTAAAAGTATGAATACCCCCTACCTGTATGTGAGGCAACCTGTACATGATTTGCTTTAGTTCTTTAGGTAGACACATATATGGCTGATGTGATAGCCTGTACATTCTCTAATCCTCTCCTGTCGATGAATCAAAATTTCAAGGCGTTTCACATAATCACACGATGCATCTGCAAATATTTTGATTACTCTTTCTAACCCCACAGGTATTTTTACAGGAGTTGGGGCTGTAGGTGTACAAGCTGTCGGCAGAAATGTGAATGTTGCAGCACCAGATTTCAATATACCCCACTGGTGGAGTCAATTGAAGGTGCCTGGGCTTAGACCGTCGATGTCGGTGGATGATTTGGTGAACCACCTAGGTAACTGCATCTCAGAGCAGATCACTTCAGGCAATCCGGAGGTGCCGACCAAAGAAACACTTGAGGGGATTGCTCAGTACCTTCTTGGTGACACACAAGGCCCACCAGTTTCTGCTTCTGACGAGAGATCACTGATGGCCAGGGTGGACTCCCTCTGCTGTTTGATTCAGAAAGACACAGCACCAGTTGCCAAACCAAAGCCAGAGCCAAATGACAGTGACAGCATTGGCACGGAAGCCTCAGATGGCTCCGATGAAGAATTCAGCTCCGCCGGCTATGTCAAGAAAGGAGGATTCGTTTGGGGAGCTGCTGACAAACCTTCCCCGCATCGCCTCGCTACCGCAGTTCCTCTTCAAGATCCCAGAGGATACTGAGAACTGAACATGGAAGTCAAGACCTCACGCCCTTACCCTGAAATAGGGAGTATGCTGTAAAGATTGTATCCAAACAATAAGAAAGCCCGTTATCGCCACCTCGGTGGCGAGTTCCCCGCCCTGTAAATGTGACACCCGGTAGGTTGCTCCAGTTGTATGTTTCGCGACTCAAATGGATAGTGGAAAAATTGAAATGTTCATTGGTTCTTTAACTCAATCGTGCCCCGTGCAAAACTGCTGAGCTTAATTTTCAGGTGGCACCTCCGCTGGTACCCTGTATGTTCCAGATTGACGTGAGTATAAAGGTTGTTTCGATAGAGCACCCGGTTCCATCGTTTTCTAACCTTTCGGGGCATGACGTGTTCCAGATTGATGTGAATGTAAGGTTTTCGTCTGTCATAACTCAATATAAGCACTCGGTTCCAATGTTAATTTTGGAACTACCTTTCGGAGCATAATCTTTATGTTTATCCTCTGCTTAAGTTGGACGTGTTGAACGAAGTCGACCTGTAGTATTTCAGTTTTTCTTTTTTCTTTTGTACAATCCTGTAACAGAATCAGCAGCACGTCTTGTTGGCACCTTGACACATGCGTCTGCTCCTTTGCAACAACTGAGCTCCGCTGCAGATACGCTAGTCTCCGAATGCAACAGCCACGGTACAGGCTGCAGCTGATCGTTGGGCCGAAACATGGCGCTCCCCAGAGTAGCGACGAGAGAATCCACCATCGCACCCCTGTGAAGAGGAAATCGATTCACTTATCCAAGCTACATTAGCGATTCTACTTATCCAAGCTACATTAGCGATTCTACTTATCCAAGCTACATTAGCGATTCTACTTATCCAAGCTACAGTACCACAGGTCCACAACCATCACAACCTACTCAAAAGCAATCAATCATACACGAAAGAAAGGGCTCGTGATTTCTGAAATATTTTACAACATACAGATCGCTATAAATAATATCACAACAATGCCATCCTCCTATCCGGGTGGCACAAGGACCTAGAGCCTGAACCCCCGAGCTACCTGATGGTCTATTGTTCCATACCGTCTCTGCACAGCAGCCCCAACTTGACGTTGGAGCGAAGTCAAACTTTACACAAAAAGAGTATCACATGTGAGACCTGGCACACAAAGGCATTTGTCAAATGGCTGGAGTCATGCGAGTTTTAGCCTAATGTAATAGGCAATAAGCAAGCAAGGGACTGGGAATTACATGGCCTGTACTTACCAGCGTACAAGAACAGGTCTAGTCCTGGAGAGCTTTCACACGGGAGGTCAGCTCTCTGACTTGATTCTTGAGGCGCTCAGGGTTGCAGAAGAAATCGATAAATATTTGTCGCTCCCTCCCCACCTCATGGGCACGATTTTCGAAGATCTGCGTATCATTTTGCAGTTAATTAGTCTTTTGAAGAACATGGTAACAAAAGGGAGACGACTGTTCTTCAAATATTTCTTGTTAAGTTCTTTGCATGATGATGACGACTGACAATCAAGCCAAGAAGCCAGTCGTTCTGTGCAGTATGCATCGGGTAAATGAAACCAATATCTGAAAGCGTAGTCTAGTTTATGGAAATTAACAGATAAATGCAAAGATAATTAAACAAGCGTTCGTTCCATTAGGCAACAGTCATGAAGGATCATAGCATATCAATGAATGAAATACCTTTATCTTCTGGGTGCGAGCCTTGGTTACTTCTTCCACGGAAACTTCAACTTGAGCGTTGGCATTTTCCATATCATCAAGCGCCCGCATCAATGGCTATATGATGAGCAGGGATTTATCACATCATTTCATATGTGCTGAAATAAAGGAGATCCAAGAAATATCACAATCTGAGGGTTCAAAGAATGTACCCAAGGCGTCAATATTGGTTCTGCAGTAGTTGACGACGCAAATAGAAGCTGTTCCACTGTTTGAATCAGAGTACACCTGCAGGAGTGAAGAGAGTGAAATGACTGGGCCTGGGACCTACTAAATATATATTGGCCAACTAAAGAGTGATTTTGTGGGTTAAAACATAATATTGGATGACACTCAATAATGCTTCTAGTGAAGAACTTGCAGGGAAGACCAGATATTCAGCATGCTGCGATCCTTCCATACTGAAACCTTATTTATGTTTATGAACAGTAGACGAGACAGCAGCTTCGCATATACAAAAATCAAGCTGTGAAACAACCGAAGAGTTATGGGCATTGGAACTACCACTCAGGTTTGGCTGCGAGCTAGAAAAATGCCTACTGTGTGATTCGTCAATTGGATATCTGGGATTAATTGTTTATACAAGGGTGCGCTGGTACATAGCAGAAAAGGCATTAAATGAAACCTTTGAAATTTTGATTTTATATATTGACAGGAAATAAGGTAAAGGAAACAAAATATTAGACAGTGCTTTGCTAACTTACAACTCATTGATACATCTTTTCCGGTCAGCTGGAAGGGTGTTCTCCAGCTCAGACCGAAGAGAAAGCAAGTCAGATTGAAGTGCTGATATCTGCTGAACCAATGCATGTGCTGACATATATGTTGGCACTGTTGCTTGGACATCTACAGAAAGGATAAGCCACATTAGGAATATGAGAATAAAATACTCATACAGATAGGTAGAGTTGCCCACTTACTTGAGTGAATACATAGGAGATCTCGCACTGCATGGAGGAAAGTGTCACGATCATCAATAGCTCCTTGTTCTCGTACTTCAGATGCAGCTTGAATTAATGAATTATAATGACCCTGAGAGACACATTAACACAAAGAAATTAAGCATATACCTGAAGACAATGAAAATAACAGGTGACAGAAATAGATGCTGCTGAAAACAGAATGTAAAATGAAAAGACACCAAAGAAGCAAGGACAAGAAGCAAGTCAATAACAATGGAGATTGATTACCAAGCGGGTATTGACTGCTGAGAGGTAGCTTTGTAACTCAGATTCTATTACTCTAAGCAATGAGTACGCCCTAGCTATATTCTTCCTTTCAAGTTGGCAAGTGATCTTCAGAAACTGGTGTCTGGCAAGCTGATTAACCAAATGATTGATGAACTGCAAAATGTATCAGATACCAGTAAGATCAGGAGAAAAACAAAAGGGGCATAAGAATACCAAAATAACAAGTGCAGCCTAGTCTTATGAGAAAAAAAAAAACAGTTTCCTGTTGCAGTCTGACTTCTGCGAGTATAAACCCAGTGAGGCAACCACCTTCTGTCAGCCACACTACCCAACTAAGGGCATGTTTGGATGAGCTAGGGCTAGTTGGGCTAAAAATTTAAAATTAGCTCAAGTTGGCTAACAACTAGTTGAAGGCTTGGCTAAAAAATTAGCCCACCTATTAGCTCTCCTGTTTGGATGCACCAGAGCTAATTTTGGATGCACCAGAGCTAATTTTAGCTAATTTTTAGCTAGCTAACAATTAGCTCTCATATCCAAACATGCCCTAAATCTACATAACAGCAAAGGAATACTGGTAAATTGCCGTTGCAGTTTCTTTTCTTCAAATGTGCGGTAGTCTTCCTTTGCTGTGAATGTGCGGTTGTCTTAAAAATCCTCCAATGCTTTAAAGATGAGCCCAAAAATGGAATATAATGTTTTACACTTTACACAGCTTGATACCACCTAAGTATCTAAATTTAGTTTCCATATATTCTCATATCCCTGAACCACTGCTCCAGCGCCCAACCTCTACACCGACACGGGCCGTGTGGGGTCACTCCTGGTCTCTCACCTCCACCGAGGGTCGCGGAGGGAGGGACCGAGGGTTTCCCACAGGAAGTCAGACGGGGCATGAGGCGGAATCGAGTGGGTGAGGGTTCTGAGTGACGAGGGTAGCGGGAGACAGGACAATGTAAAAAGCGGATCAAATGCTCGATAATCTGTCCCGGAAAGAATCCAAAAAATCTCCCCTTACATGAGCGCTCCGGATATTTATAGGTCATACCCGGAAGCAAGGTGGAATTACATCAGGGTTTCACTCCGGGGGCTAAGTGCTGCGCCCGACCTGGGGGCATAGTGGTAATCTTCCCCCTTTGGTTGTCGTCTTCTGGTCCTCCATTGCCGCGGTGGGACCATCAACGGCCCCGGGATGGTTCCCTCTCGTGGTGGGCGGCGACCCTCGCGCGCTCCTGGCGAGGGTCCGCCCCCCGCCGTCAATCTCGCCGGCTCCCCACCAAGCTCTCTCCCGCTTCGTCCAACCTCCGAGCGCGCCGCCTGAACAGCAAGAGAAAACACCAAGAACGAGGAAACCCTCGCGAAGAGGGTTGGCACCCGCGACGAGGCGAGTTAGCTTGTTAGTTGCGGGTCGAGGGTTAGGGGAGGAGCGCGGCCGGGGGTGCTTCCCCCCAACAGGCCGGCAGCAACCGCACGAGAAGGGTGCGGAAGACCGTGGCCGCTACCCGCTCGAGCCTGCGCCTCGCGGCGCGCCCATCACTGGTGCCAATGGCTGAACGCGCACAGAGGCAACTGATGCGTGAACTTGACTTCATCAACAACCAGTCGCCGGCGCCGGATGCAGCTGTCACCGCCTATGTGGATCCGGAGCAGGCCGTCAAGGCGTTCCAGGCTGCCACGCGCTTGAGCAACAAGAAGCTGGCCAAAGTACTGGCGGCTATAGCGCAGGAGACGGAGGCAGTTGAGATGGAGGTTCCCTGAAACTCAGATGCAAAACCGGTGTTGTTGTGTCTGCGATCCATGTATTGTAGAAGTTTCTGGGAAAGGTGGACCAAAAGCAGGATGGGAGCCGAAGGTGGACCTCTATGGCCGACTTCCCCCGGTGGATATGCTAGGATTGATAGCAATGACCCCAAGATCCTGAGCAGGAAGGTGAACTGGAATGTGTGGGAACCGAATAGTGTAGCAAGAACGAAGCTACCAAAGGTCCTAATGGTCGCACAAACTACCTATTATGTAATAAGCTCATGTAGAACCTCAAACCTCCGCAGCCTAGGCTGCGGCTGGTAGCGCCCCTCGCACGTGTAACAGCTGTTTGCTACCTTCTTATTATAAATCAAAGCCGGGAAACCGAATCTTTCAAAAAAAAATTATCATATAGGGGACATCCTCCCCCCCCCAAAAAAAAAAAATCTCTCCCCCAATTGTTCCCCTATGGAGCGGTATAAGGAGAAGAAGGACCTACACATGATTTTTATTGACTTGGAGAAGGCTTATGATAAAATACCAAGGAATGTTATGTGGTGGGCTTTGGACAAACATAAAGTCCCAACGAAGTACGTCGGGCTCATTAAGGACATGTACAACAATGTTGTGACTAGAGTTCGAACAAGTGATGGAGACACAGATGACTTCCCGATTAGGATAGGACTACATCAAGGGTCAGCTTTGAGCCCTTATTTGTTTGCCTTAGTGATGGATGAGGTCACAAGGGGCATACAAGGGGACATCCCTTGGTGTATGCTTTTCGCGGACGATGTAGTGCTAGTTGATGAAAGCCGGACAGGAGTGAATCAGAAACTGGAGTTATGGCGGGAGACTTTAGAGTCCAAAGGTTTTAGACTCAGCAGAACTAAAACTGAGTATATGAGATGTGACTTCGGCACTACTATTCGGGAGGAGGGAGATATTAGTTTGGAAGGTCAAGTAGTGTCTAGGAAGGATACCTTTCGATATTTAGGATCAATGCTACAGAGAGACGGGGATATTGATGAAGATGTTAGCCATAGAATCAAAGCAGGGTGGATGAAGTGGCGACAAGCATCTGGTGTCCTATGTGACAAAAGGGTACCACAGAAGCTAAAAGGCAAGTTTTATAGGACGGCGATTAGACCTGCTATGTTGTATGGTGCAGAATGTTGGCCTACGAAAAGACGACATGTTCAACAGATAAGTGTCGCGGAAATGCGTATGTTGCGTTGGATTTGCGGTCATACAAGAAGGGATCGAGTTCGGAACGATGATATACGTGATAGATTAGGGGTAGCACCAATTGAAGAAAAGCTTGTCCAACACCGGTTGAGATGGTTTGGACATGTCCAACGAAGATCTCCAGGGGCACCGGTGTGTAGTGGAATCCTAAGCCAGGATAGTAACGTGAAGAGAGGCAGAGGAAGACCGAAGTTGACTTGGGTAGAGGCAATAAAAGGAGACTTGAAAGGATGGAATATACCCAAAGACTTAGCCTTAGATAGGAGTGCTTGGAAGACAGCTATTCACGTGCCTGAACCTTGATTGCTTCTGCTGGGTTTCAACTCTAGCCTACCCCAACTTGTTTGGGACTTAAAGGCTTTGTTGTTGTTGTTGTTGTTGTTGTAATTGTTCCCCTATCTTAAATAACATATAGGGTGGACAACATGTCACCCAAAATACGAGGGAGAGAGAGGATGATTTAGCAGGTACCACTAAATATAGGTTGTTGGTTAGGGGGATTGTTGGAGGGTGATTTTCGTTTCATAAACCTTATTTTTCACTTTAAGAGGTTGGATCAGGGAACTCTTGGAGATGCTCTATGGCATCTTAATTTTCATAACATTAGAGAAGATAGGGCATTATGGTAAGAAAATACAAAGAAAAGACATAAAGATGTTGACATGACATGTATGACGTGATTTGTGAAATGAGCTTACCGTTTTTTGCCTGTTAATGTAGTACTCCTGGCGCATGACCTTTAAATCATAATCCCCTAAATATTTGAGTGATAAGAAGAAGCTAAGACAACAATACAACAAAATTTGTAGAACACTGAAAAATGAAATGCTTTCTACAAACCTTGCAATATATATGTGCCTTGAAGTTGAGCAAGTTCTGAACACAGACATGGTATTGTCTGGAGGGGAGAACAAGTAAATAGATGGAGGAAGTAAGATGTAAGATTGTGCCATGAAAAAAAAAGAAAACTGGTGCAATGGTGAACTTCAGTAGGAACTATTATTGCTATCTTATCCTCTAAAACCTAGAAAGTTCAGATAATGAACATGACTCTGAAAGATTATAATACCCCAAGAAACCAAACTTAAATTTGACTTGTGAGCTACTAATTTATATAACCCAGGAACAAAATATATTTTCTAAAGAAAATATTGTGTCTTACATACCTCAGATACCAAAGCTTGCACCTTTTGAGAAAGTGTTGAGAGCTCTCCAGCAAGCTCAGAACCTTTTCTCCTGAAGGCAAATGCCACAGATATGAGGGGGCTTATAAGATATTTAAATAAATCTTTGTTTCTGCTCTAGTAATTTATTTGCATTTATGCATATAAGTATATAACTTATGTATATGGTACAAAGCTGGAAAACTGATGAGTCAGGATCAATAAACATAGCATAACATATACCTAAGAGAATGGATATCCCTATGTATGTGAGCCTCGTCGGATGACACTTGTGCTTTCAATATAGAGAGTATAGCCTGCTGTTTAGCATTCTCAACCTGTGCTTCAATCCACTGTCTTTCACTTGTTGCAAATCTGTCACCAAAATAGAGTAATTCAGAGTAAATTCTAGAACGGTGAGAAAATTGCAAAGCTGGAAAACACATTATTAGCTGCCTAAGAGGTAAACACAACGAACCGAATGTGATCCCAAATTTTTCATAACAAATAACAAAACGAATCAATAACAAACAAAAGGTCACAACATAAAAGTTGAATATTGGACACGTGTAGCTGTATCAAAATGGTATAACTGAAAGCACAAATAGGGTGCAAACCTATTTTCAGGTGAAAATATTCAAACTTCTATGTAAACCATTGGATGATGGATAGATGATTCTGATTCAGTGGATCATGAATCATAATGAGGCCTGAGTCCTCATAATTTATTCTTAGATAATTAGGAGGTTACAGAAGTTGGCCATCCTCATGACCCTAAAGTTTCTTCAATGCTATGCATCCTTCTTTTATGTAAGGGATCCACATGAAGAGTTACCAATTTAGAACATCTGGAACGTAATGTGAGCTTTACTTGATGATTAAATGAATCATGCAACAAGACTGCATGAGATGATTGCAATTATGCATCTGATGAGTGGTTGCAAATATAAAGGCTAAGACAGGGTATGAAGCCAAAGTTAATTACATGGAACGAAGTCGTTGCAACTCAGCGACGCGTTGGTGATGATGAGATTTTTCAGAATCTCCTGCATCATGACAACATAATGGTTACTACGAGTTCATCTGTTACGTCATCCCAGTATTAGAATCGTGCTATTTCCTCCATGAAAAACCAGTTACAAATAATTAAATGAAGAAAGCCAATTACCTCTTATCAAGCAATTAGTGATGTCATCAAGACTAACCCAAGAACATTTGGATTTCCCCTCCTCAGCAACAAGTCGAAATGGCCCCTGATCACATACCAAATGTTAATGTTAGATAAGTAAGCAGACAAACTGTGGAGAGTTGTCCTATGCTACTCAAAGGGTAAAAAGTAAAATTGTGGCATAGATATATAACTGTACAGAACAGTGTTTTGGACATGTAGTGGAGATGACAAAATGTACCTAAATCTGCCATTTACATGGTATTAACTTGTCATAGATTGTAAAATTAGCTAGTCAGTTAACTGAGAACAATGTGACAGCCAAACATGATTTACCTTCTCAAATTGCTTTGAGAACCACCTATTTAGCTCTTTCGTACAAGCCAAGTCGCCAACAACATAGGGGTGGAAGTCTGAATATGCCAAATATATACTTTCCTCTGCAAATCATAAATAAAGAAAGGATTTTATTGGATACAGTATAATGTTTATACACTATAGAATAGTTAGTACTATTCATTGATCAAAAGTGAAAAGAATAATAGCTATGCCCAATTGCCACTAGGTAAAGCGCATACCATCCCCTGAATGATAATGGGCCAGTTCCTGGGTAGTAGCAGCGATTCTTCCAAGAACTGCATTCATCTGAAAGTTAGAAAATACATCAAATCAAACTTTACCAAAAAAATAACCTCATGGAACATATTAATATCTTGTTTACATGAGTAAAAATCTACAGAGTCTAAGTATTTCATATCTCATATTATCTGCATACTCCAAATAAGACACATATGCTCATAGGCGAAACCGCGAAAGTTGTGATGCAAAAGAAGCTGCCAGGGAATTATTTCATTTACGAGTGTACTAATACAAAATAAAGGGCCATATTTACTATGAGATATATTGCAGAGCATAGCAAAAGATATGCTGTTATCATTAGTTAAAAATCTCATCACAGAAAGCACTCAATCATGTACCACAAGTCCACAATAACATGAAACAAGCTATTTTTTCTTTTGTCTCTGTTATTTGTAAGATACAAATACATTCAGAATGGCAAAGTATCATAACTGAATGTAATAAAAAATCTTTTTCAAACTGCGACTGATTGAGTTATACCTCCAAGTTTCTGGAAGAAAGTATCTCATCTAACGATATGAGCTCTCCACTAACTGCAGACATAGCAGAAACACGTGCCCTTCTACCTTGAATAAGAGTTGAAGCCTGGCCTGCAAGCAAATCAAATTGTGCTTGCTGCCGTGCAAGCTGCTTTTGTAACTCAAAAACTTCGGCTCTATATGCTAGTTTTGCTTCACTGCAAATACACAAATGAGAAAATTGTCAAGAAAAGCACTTATAAGATGCTAAGAAGGAACATTTCAATCATGCACTTTGCAGCTTGGCATAATTAGCATTTAACTTCACTGGGTTTACAGAATGTTCCGAGAGCAAAAGCTCAAGCAGATACCACCAGTTTAAATTCGTTTTTACAATGTTTTCTGTTGAAAACCCATTCCCGGCAAACAATTGAAGTAGCATACAAACACCCACTTGTGAATTGTGATTGGTTTCATAACATTTTGCACTAGCGTCAATTTCAGAAATCAGTCCCCACTAAAATTTGAACCCATTCTATAACTACGACAATGTAAATGTAGCAATACTTCAATATTTGGAAGTTCCAAGCATACCGGATATCAAGAATGGTTTCTTCAGATCCAAACACAGCCTCTTGATTGTCTTTCTTGCTTGAAAAGGCTGAAATACTATCAAAAGCAGAGTCCAAATCTTCACCCTGAGAAAATGGTACATGTGCACCATAAGAGTTTTGAAGCCTGACAGAAATAGACGCCTACATAAAAATGCAGTTGCCTGGGGGTTTGGGACTGGATCTATTCTCTGATGAAGACTATCCACCAAGAACTAACCAAATTTTAATCCTTCCCCAGAGAATTCAGTGTAACTATAATTACTTAATATGCTATTTGACCACAAAACGAAAAATTTCAAGCAGATTCCAGTACTTGGGGAACCCACTTGCCACATCAATTAAAAGAAGCACTTAAGATATCCTATCATTCTTTAAAGTCTGTAAGAATGTTAAATGGCCTTTTGAATATACCTCTAACAGTCTTCCCTCTTCCACGAGCTGTTCATACCTGAAAGCCACATGGACAAATTAATTAAGTAAAAAACAGACTCACCTATTCAAATTAGTATGAAAATAAAAAAAAATATGACATCAAAACTTTGGATAATTGATCAGTAGGGCTAGTGAATGCACGACAACTCACTAACCACAGCACTACAAGTAAAACTGCAAGTTCAGAAGCATTAAGCAAATCATAGAGTAGGAAACAACGTTTATTAACCAAAAAACAGCAGATATTTGACATGTTCTCCCTACGCAACACACACCCTTCAAATTTTGTTCATGCCCAAATATAATAAAATGGATGCCTTTGACAAAATGCAACTGCAAATTAAACCCACCCAGAATCCATAACTTCACACCCAAATTCACAGCTCTATCAAACTGGGGCCATAATCTCTCACTAAATCCTCCACACAACACATGCATTTGCCACTAATTCCCAACATTTCGCGCCCATAGAGGGTTAGAGACACAAACACTCCCCTAGAACCCTATTGCACCTATCCTCCCCGAGAATTCGTAGTAACTCCACCACAGTCCACAGATTGGCACCCCAGCTGCCCAAATCTCCCAACAACTAGCCTCCCCATTAACCCTCACGCCTCAAACTCAGCATCATTTCGTGTCGCATACCACAGCAATGCCGCAGCGAAATCGGCCTCAGCAACAATCACCACCACTACCACAGCCCAAAAAAGGATGCCAGAGCACGATGTGACAAGGGGATGGGAACCATTCGCTTACTGGGCCAGGTGGGACGGGGAGAGGACGTTGGAGGGGCGGAGGCAGGAGCAGATCCAGGCAAGCAGCGGGCGCGCCTCCTCGTACTGGAACGGCCACTCCAGCGCGTCCGCGTCCAGCGGGTCCTCCCCGTCGAACCCCAGCTCCGTCAGCGCCGCGCACAGGGCGGCCCCGCTCATCCTGGACGTCGGCGGCGGCCGCGGCAGCTGCTGTGGCGGCGGTGGGAGGCTGTAGTGGTGGACTGGTCTGGTGGGTGGGCGGCCGTGCGCGGCCGGCAGCGGTTGCTCTGCTTGCGTTGCGTGAGTTCGAAACAACGCGAGCAAAACAAATGGGATCTGCTGCTAGCTGGGGAATGGGGGTTTCGTCGGAAACTAGAGAATTCGGACCGCTCGCTCCGTGGTGTGGCAATTGGGCTTCAATTTTTCCACGGGCTGAAAATGAATGGACTCTGTAGAAGCCCATGTGCGATTAGAAGCCTCGCTGGAGGGCCACCCTTAATGGGCCTTATCTTTTCTAACGAGGCTCAGTAAAGATCTGAAATCCAAGGGCAGTACGCGCCAAACAATTCCAAGTCCTCTCCCAACTTCGCAATCCAAAAGGGTAGTTCTGCAAACTCCGCTCTAGGGAAGGGGGCCTAGCTCCACGTTTTTTTAGCTCCTCAAACGATACTCCCAAAACTAGAGTTTACAACATGAGTTATCAAGATATTACCCATCGTGCGACACTTACACAACCTAGTGGTATGTTTCTTTTCTTTATTGCCCATTGTGTGACTTTTTTGGTACACATGTGCCGCCCCAATAGTGAAACCCTATCATCGGCTCATCGCCACCTCTCCATAAGCCTATTTAATGGACGTGTCTAGTTATTACGGGTTAAAAAGATGAGTTTTTTTACCAGAATATGTGCTTTTTGTGACCAAGTTATTTACATCTTTAATTTTGCATTATATTTGAATTGGCAAAAAAAGGTCACTCGCATATATGGTACAAAATGCCAAAACATGTACCAAACATCATCCAGTGGCGTACTAGACCAGTCTTGAAACAACCCCGCATTTTTTGAGGTGGGGCTAGACCGCAAGCCAAATAGGTTCACATGCTCCGGGGTTGGGTTGAAACTCCAGAATAAAGTTGCTCCGTAGCAGAGTTGGTGGAGCAGAGATAGTTCTAGTAGAGCAAATCAAGCCCTAAGAGTACCCACAACACGCATAGAAATGATGCTTTGATCTGGAAAAGCATATCCAAGCAACGATTTTGTCGTTGCAAAGGTTGACATAAAATCTTCTTGCTTCAATGCTTGATGAAGCCTCGGTGCTTGTAGACTAAAAAACTGGTGCTGTCAATTCTCTTATATCGTATAGTTTCATGATTGGAACTAGCTCAATACTCTATCTGCTCTGTTTTACAAGGCGCGATCAAATATGGTACAGTCTCCCAAATTAGAATTTGACCATTCATTACATTATATTATATTTTTTGTAATTATAAAATTATGATAATTAGATAGTATATTTGATCATAGATCTAATCATATGGAGTCTGTATTACAATAGTTAAGAATTGATAGTTAAAATATTAGTCAAAAATTGTGAAGTTTGAATCTTGATTTGTGTGTGCACATGCATTGTAAGTGGATGGGCGCCTAAACAAGACCTTAAGTTATCTACCAATTTTATCAAGCATATATGGGATGACCATTTCCATTGTAGGTTCGGGACATCATGAGAGGTGCTTGATAAATCATAACCTAGCATCCCTTTCTTTGTGTGTATAGGTGTCTTGGCATTGTTTACACCATGGGGGAACAAAGGCGAGGAATACATTGATCTTGTTATCTATCAATTGGTGCTAGAGTTTATAATTAATTTATGTGTGTCAAGTTTGCTGTTTTGATTAGTGAGCATCTAAGTAGAGAGAGACATGGAAAAACTAGGGAAAAAGACGTCGTATTAAATTAGCATGTGCTATGCTTATATCTGGCTCATATGATATAGAATGTTATATGCTCTTATATTTGAAATTGCATAGCAGCAAATGTACTGACAATAGTTTAGATGTCTTCACTGCCTTGTGGTTGGACGCAATGGACGATTGGAGTTGTTCGGAGTTTTGAGGGTGACTCCTACTCGTAGTCGCAGCAATCATAAACGTGATCACGTGATCACGCGATGGTGAAATGCTGCTGCCCATTCACGTGTGTCCCCCACATTAGAAGAGCCCTACACATGGACGCATGATGCATAGGAGGCATATTCATGGCAGTACCAGTTCTGCGCGTGTGTGTATATATAAATAATATACAGGAATATGCGTTTGTGCTGACTGCTGTGCGTGCATATATGTAATATATATGTGTGTGTATATAATATACTGCATGTGCTGTGCATGGGTTGATATTTTTATTTTGCAAAAGAACAACCCCACATGCGTTTGTGTATATCTTGAGTTTCAACAATTTTTTATTGTAACTGGGCCACTGCAATCGGTTCTACTTCTATTGCAAAAACCAACCATCCGCTCACATATGTGATCGATTTAGCCCGTCTCCATCGATTTGACATGACAATGTGGTCTTTTTGAAAGGTAAATTCTTTCAAGGCTAAGCCGTTGTTTGTATCCAATGGTCTAATGTTTAGCCACTAAGACTATTTTAACTCTTGAGACTCCAAATAAGAGGTCTAAAGTGCTGAAGACATTAGACCTAAGAATCGGCCCTAAAGTAGTTCATGGAAGTCAAAACGTTGTTGTAGTAACAAGTTTTGCTATTTCTTTACGGTGGATATCTATGTCTAAGTCACACATGTGAACCAAACATCGCTCGTTCATGGACCACAATCTCTCATCGCAATGGTATCCACCAAACAAAACACATTCTTATTTAATCCTTGCAACATGATGAATACTAAGCTAAGCCTTCTATAACCTGTTGAAAAAAACTTGATCCGGCCTCGGCTTGTCATGGGCCCATGGTTCGACAAGCAAAATTATATATCTCAGTGTGCACAACGAGATGGCCATTTATACAAATGGTCTATGGAGGATCTCGAGATTATCTTAGGCCCTGTTTGGAAGATTTGTATAATTTCTCACATGTAAAGAGCTTACACCTGTATTTCTCTGTGCACAAGAAAACCATTTGAAATTTTTACCCTGGTAAAATGTTGTTTGGATAATCGTATAAATTAACCAGCCATGTAGCTATATAGCAATCATGTGTCTCAATTTTTCTTTCACATCCAATAGTATTCTGAGTGAATTATTCAATCTAGCAGCAAGCTATGAGAGTTCCGTATTGCAACGATGATCAAGGCAAAAATATGGTTTGCTTTTCATGCTGCCATTGATGGAAACATGCAAGCACAGAGATCCAAATCTGATTCACAATTCTTTTCACCAAGCATACACAAGGAGAGGGATTGTGCATCACAGCACAGCCGCAAGGAATGAGAAGAGAGATGCCAATATGCCATGCAGTCAAAGCCCCAGATGTCCTCGTCATGGATGGCCAAGTAGTGCTCGCCGCCGCCGCCGCAAGTAGTTCTCGCCGCCGCCGCATGTAGCGCTCGCTGGCACCGTTACCCCTACAGGCTATGCGCTCGTGGCCGTGAACCACCGATGCGCTTGCAAGCTGCCTCCTCCGCCGATGCGCTCCGGATGGCTACTCCTCGCGCCTAGCGACAGTTCGGTACGTGTCTCGGTGGAGAAGACGAGTGGGTAAGATGAGCCCGATTTTAAAAGTCAGGCCGCGGGAGGTCTTTATTTTTTTTCCGCTGGTAATAGAGCAAAACGGACGTATTTAAATTAGGTTGATCACTCTTCCAAACAAGCTTTTGAAACTCACCTGTATTTTACAGGGGTTTTAGCTCTAAAACCAACCTTCCAAACAGCCCCTTAGTTTGCACAACGAGATGACCTTTTATATAAACAAAATTTTTTCTATTTGACACTAAAAAACTTATGCTTTTCTATTTGACATCCAAACTTAATTTTTTTATTTGTCACTATTTTTATTTTTTCTTTCCTATATGACACTCCAGTTACTTTAAAAGAGTAACGGTGTTAAGACACAGACAAAAAGACCATTTTCCCTTGTCGTATTTTTCTAGTCATGGCGTTCCCCCGCTGTTTTTTGGCATTTTAGTTTCCAACTATTATGTTTTCCTTTTTTAATTGCTTCTGTTAGCACTAGAAAAGTTGCGGTTGGAAAAAAAACCATTGGACAAAATGGTCTTTTCGTCTAGGACTTGACACCGTTACCACTCTAGAGCAACGGAAGTGTTAAATAGGGAAGAAAAAATGAAAGGGACGATGAGTAAGAAATTTTTTAGTTTGGATGGTTTTTCTAGTGTCAAATAGGATTTTTTATTTAAATAGTCTATAAGGAAAATCTCAAACTCCAAGTAACATAATCGGTGGTTTATTTTTTTCGAGAAAAAATCGGGTTTCTTGGCTTTTTTAGATACACGACTTTACTTTATATCTAGACATGGTACATAAGTGCATAGTAAAAATCAATATATGTAAAAAAGCTAAAATATCTTTATAATTTAGAATGGAGAGAATACAATGCAATTCATCTCGCTAAGTTTGGTTGGGTTCCTTGGGGTGGAATTTGTCCACCCAGGTTTAAGTCCTCGACTTGGCACGGATGCTTGTATTTTTCTGGATTTATTTCAGGATTTAATGACCCTATGCTTTCAGTGGTAGGCAACATCCCCGTCGACAGCGAGACGCCTGTGGTGACTTCGTGAATCTCGAGATCTACCGACTCAGTCTTTCGGACGTGCTCGTAGAGATAGAATTGGCATATGTGTTCATGGATGTGAGTGTGCGCGCGTGTTTTACTGTCTAATTCTTAAAAAAAAAGTTTAGTAGGGTATCCTATTATTCCTACAACGCAATACCTCCCTTGCTGGCGGACTGGCTGAGGTGTCCATTCCCGTCGTGTAGACTGCGGAACCGCAGTGGTGCGGAATGGAGTCGTCGTCTCGTCTGGCTCAGCTCGGCCACGCTTGCCGCCGATACCGGAGGGGCTAGCTTCTGAATTCCGACCGATTGGCTGTGATGCAGATATCCACGGCAAACGCTGAGCCATGACTGGAAGGCCGAGGTGCCGATGTCGGCCTTGCACACTGTGGAGCCACGAAGTGGACTCGCGTCGTCCTCGTCCTGTCCGACTCCTCAGCCGGGCCGCTGCAGCAACCTGCAGGTGACGGCGGGCAGAGGCTCTCGCGGACTGGCACGAATGGCCGGGATCGAGTAATAGGTGGCTGATCACCTGATTAGGAAAGGGCTGGTGACGTATATAGCTAGTTAATAAATTGGAAAAAAGGCTAGTGCGTTGCCTATATTTAATATTTTAGGCGTGGTATTGATCAGGATGGGCCAAAGCCAATCACGCCAAGAATGTTGTAAGAACGGTGAGGAGGAGGGTGGGGGGATTATCCAAGTCTCTTTGCGGCGGCAGCGGTCGACAGAGCCTGCGGCGATTGTAAACTGTATCGAGAGTTTTAGAGTTTATCTATATAGAAATCATAGTAAAATGTTGTAGCACTCCATATATCCTTCCTCCTTCGAAGGTGGATTCCATTGATATGACAAATCAGGCGACAGAAAAATAGCAAAACTCTAAAATTAAATGTTTAATTTCTTTTAATTTTGGAAGAAAAAAAGTTTCCAAATGTGGACTATTTCTTTTTGGAAAGTTTGGCAGATCTAATCTTTTTTAACATGATAGAGAATTAACAATGATTTTTTAACATGATAGGTGTGTATGCATGTATGGTGCATAACATAATGGTGTTTTTTTTAACGTGATAGGTGTCATGCACGGTGTTTTTTTTTTGAATACGAGGTAAAACTTTTTTGTAATGTGATCTTCGGTGTAACTTTTTAGAACAAAATATAAAATAATACCAAGGTGCATGACAGCTTGCTACGTGTAACTACATATAATTACTAGGTACTAACAAGAATTAGTTTTTTTTTTCTGTTATATACGTGTGCATCGTCTTGATTGCACAATATCTTGTATGCTGTATGCTACGTGTAACCCAGCCATGATGACCTTGTCTTGATTGCATCTCTTGTACGTTCATACAAGGCAAACAATCTCAACATAACATGTGCATAATATCCTACCCTCCGTTCCAAATTATAATTCGTTTGACTTTTTTATCCCAAGTTTGACCGCTCATCTTATTTAAAAAATTTGATCTAGAATGTGGTCTGGAAATTACCTCATGAGAAATTCCTATGTAACTCTTTATATATAATACGTAATGGAGAAACTTCGTTCATTTTATTATGATGGCGGTTTGCAACTAATGCGTGCCGCCTTCGTGATGATGCTATCTCATCAACACCTTATATATACATCCTTTATTAATATTTAATTTTATTATTAACTCCTACAAAGTAATATGTGGTAAAAGACATCCAGATCAACGGTCCACAGTTATTTGGAGATATCACAGCAAGACCCTAATAATAAACTAGATATTTTTATTCAATTGTTATTAACTTGGTCCAATATTAAATGAAATAAATTACCATTCTCATAGTAAATGCTTGTACAATAAAGAATTAATCCTAAATAGAAAATTAACATGAGATTGCCTGACATGACTCATGAGTAGGTGGCTATTGTGTCACTTTTTGTGAGTAGGCCATGCAATGAGACATGAGTGGTGTGACGCCAACAAAGTATATGCAGCTCCAAACTCAAAGCGAGAAAGATGAGAGCGAGGGACACTGAGAGACAAAACAAAATCGGCGTTCGCTCTTTATTAAGTATAGTACATATATAGACAGAGAGAGATATTTTATTTATACTAACGAACATGTCCATGCATTGCAAATGGATATACAATATATTTTATTTATAATGAGTTAGATGTTTTATTAATTGGATTTAATTTGTCTTTGTCTAATCTTAAATCAAATAAAGTTTAAGGCTAATGCTAGTTCAACAACATATCAATACCTAATGGAAAATTGATAGGAGATTAACTTAATGTAAATATGTGGCTATTATGTATATCTTTATCGGTGTTTCGAGTTGCCACCGATAAGTAAATTTCTAATATTGCGCGTCTGGCTCGGATGGTGTGCTAAGAGGACACAAGGTTTATACTGACTCAGGCGTAATGTCCCTACATCCAGTTCGTTGCTGCTGCTCGTGTTACTAGCACCGAAAGTTCGTAGTATGAGTTACAAACGAGCGAGAGAGGGACATGTCCCAAGTTTCTGGTGAAAGGAGTAAACGGGTGCTGAGAGAGCTCGGTTGCTGCTCAGTCGTATGTTTGGGGTTTGATGGGTTTGTTCAGATCTGGCTTGAATCGATCCGATGTGTTGCGATGCCCCTTATGGGACACCCTGCTTTCCCTTTTATAGGGCAAGGGAAAGCATGGTTTACAGCGGATGAAAAAGAAGAATGAGAGAGAGAGAGAGAGCCGAAGGCCTTCATGATCGTCGAGTCCTTCTTCTCCTTCATGAGGATCATGGCGACCTGTAGATGTCAACAGGGTCGGCTTCGCGTCGTAGTCCTGTCCGTCACTAGCACCATGCGCAGGCGTCATATGCCGATCATGGCGCTCTACTCCGTCCTAGCGAACGTCGTGGTGAACTGACACGTCCGTCAGTGTTCGTTCGGGGGTTAGGCAGAACATCACCGGTACGCTCGACGCTGTTCTTGATGTGAATCCTCCGGTATGGCCCATCAAGGCCACGGGTTACATCGGGCTTGCTGGTCTCTTCCCTGGTGTCAGAGCTTTGACTCAGGCCCATACGCTTGGACTTGGAGTGGTTGACGGCGGTATGGGTCTCCGTTGGGCGAGGCAGAGCCCCCGGCCTCTGGGTCGGGTGAGGCGGAGTCCTCCCCCAGAGGACGGGCGAGGCGGAGCGCAAACCCGAGGGTCGGGCGAGGCGAAACCCACGGCCTCGGGGTCGGGCGAGGTGGAGTGTAGACCCAAGTGTCGGGCGAGACGTAGCGCAGACCCAAGGGTCGGGCGAGGCGGAGCGCAGACCCAAGGGTCGGACGAGGCGGAGCGCAGACCCAAGGGTCGGGTGAGGCGGAGCGCAGACCCAAGGGTCGGGCGAGGCGGAGCCCGCGGCCTCGGGGTCGGGCGAGGCAGAGTCCCCTCTAGAGGCCGGGCGAGGTGGAGGGCAGACTCAAGGGTCGGGCGAGGCGGAGTCCTTCCCTAGAGGCCAGGCGAGGCGGAGCCCGCGACCTAAGGAGGCCGAGCGATGCGGAGCGCAGACCCAAGGGTCGGGCAAGGCGGAGCGCAGGCCAAAGGGTCGGGCGAGGAGGAGCCCGCGGCCTCAGGGTCGGGCGAGGCGGAGTCCTCCCCCAGAGGACGGGTGAGGCGGAGCGCAGACCCAAGGGTCGGGCGAAGCGGAGCTTGCGCGCCGGGGGGTCGGTTGGAGCTGTAGTCGCGCTCTTGACTATTCGGATGAGTCAATGTTGATGGCATTAGCTCCTCCTCTTCAGGTACCCTAGTATTGATTCCCGACAATCTTTTGTAGGTTTAAGAAAGGTGGAAGGCGAGCAACATGACCATATGATTGTCACAACATACACAAACTCGAGCGACTAGACCATGACATGAGTGGTGCGGTGCTAAGAAGTTTTTTCAACTCCAATCACATATGTGTTTGTAGAGTTTGAACCAATAATTAATTTATTTGTTGCAAATGGGCCATTCGTCCTCAGTTATGTTGCAACCACTCACATTTGCCATATGTATTTGTAGAGTTTCAACCAATAATTAATTTATTTGTTGCAAATGGGCCATTCATACTCAATTCTGTTGCAACCACCTACATATGCCATATGTGTCCGTAGAGTTTCAACCAATAATTAATTTGTTTGTTGCAAATGGGCCATTCATACTCGGTTCTATTGCAACCACTCACATATGTGACCCATTTAGGCATTGTTTGGATATCCTTATATCTACCTTAGCCCACGTATGTCGAGCTGAATTGGGATGTAAATTAGTTTAAGTTTCATCATAATACACTGTAACATATGTGAATTGAGGTGAATACGAGAGTATCCAAAGCCTTATCACGTCTTCCGTCAATTTGAGATGACAATGTGGTTTCCAAGGCTAAAGTAGTTCATGGAAAGCCTCAACGTTGTCGTACCGAGTTTTGCTATTTATTTACAGAGTTTATTGAACCCTTGCTACTTGATGAATAAATAAACCTTCTATAACCGTTGGAAAAGCTTGATCTGGCCTTGGCCTGGCATGGGCCCATGGTTCGACAAGCGAAATTATCTCAGCGTGCACAACGAGATGACTTTTTAATAAAAGATAGAAATGGTGGAGAATCTCAACCTCCAAGTATCTGGTGTGTGTTTTTTTCAAATTTTTCGTGAAAAAATCGGGCTCCTTGACTTGGTGGGCACGGGATGCCGTGCCGCGCTCCACGCAAGCGCAACCGAACCACGCGATGACGCGATCCGCACCCAAGACCAACACATCGTCATCCTCACCTGGCACTGGCACTGGCACGCGCTCACGGGACCAGACTCCTCGCGGCCGGCGGCTCGCGAGTCACGCCAGCCACCAGCCACTCTCGCTTCGCTTGCGCGTCACCCAACCGCAACGCTCCCGTGCGTGCCGCACGAGCACCGTTGGTTATTTGGCCGCTGCAAGTACTACAAGTACTACGACTACACAAACTAGTCCAATGCGAGTCTGCGACTCTGCTATCCGCTACCCTCGCGCCGGAGTCGCCGCCACGATGGCCTCCCGATCTGCCGGGCTCTTCCTCGCCCTCCTGCTCCTGGCCGTCGTCGCGGCCTCCGCTGCCGCCGCCGGGGGCGCGAAGTGGCGGGAGGAGCAGGCGCGGGATCGGGTGCCGCGGGTGCCGGGGCAGGCCTTCAACACCAGCTTCGCGCAGTACGCCGGGTACGTCACCGTCAGCGAGCAGCGCGGCGCCGCGCTCTTCTACTGGTTCTTCGAGGCCGAGAAGGACCCGGCGTCCAAGCCCCTCGTGCTCTGGCTCAACGGAGGTGCGCTACCTACACATCACCCGCCCGCCCGCCTACCGCGTGCTTTTGTTCGTTGGCTGCGTGATCCGTTTCGTACTGTGATGGTTGTTGGGGGTCTGGTGGGTACTTGGGGGAGATTTGGGGGTCAATCATCTGATGATGTGTATTTTTCATGCTTGATTGAGATGGTGGGGCGACGGGGCAACCAAGGATTTTTGGCGACTTCGGGGCGGGGGATCTGAGGTCTCCCGCTTGTTTTGGAACAGGGGACCTGAGAGTGATGCGGTTGTTTTGGAACAGGGGAGCTGAGAGTGATGCCTTGCGTGCGTAGTGTGTACATGTAGAGATGCTTGTGGTATCTCATTCTTACCGGGACTAGGATTTCGCTTGGGAGCTACAGCATCCTTTATTCCTTCAGGGCCTGTAAACTTTTCCATTGTGTGGATTGCTCTTTTAAATTTCACCCAACTCTTTTAACTAGTACGTATATAATATTTAGCATTGCGCATGAGATTTCTGGATCAGCTGTATTTATCTGATGCAAATGGTTGCCAGTGATTTACTAGTAGGCAAAAGGTTACCCTTGGGCTATTGGTAAACTTATCCGGTCCAGGCTCTGTTCCTCTTTACTTAAGTTCATCAGTTGTGCAATAGTGCGATAAAACGGTTAAATTACTGCATGTAAATCTTCCAGGGCCTGGATGCTCGTCCATTGCTTTTGGACTCGGAGAAGAAGTAGGACCTTTCCATGTTAATGCAGATGGGAAGGGGGTGCATGTCAATCCTTATTCTTGGAACAGAGGTACCATCCAATTAAACAAATATCTTCACTAACAATACCACTGTTTTCCAGTTTTAATTTCTTCATGTGCTGTTATGTGATTTTTGTTTAGCCTTTTGTTTCTGGTCTCCACGGATTGTTGGATTGCCAATACTATCAGTAAATTGTAACTTTTTTATATTTTACAATTAACCTCACTTAGACAGCAGTTTACTACATTTTGCAATAGCTTAGCATTCTTAGTCTTGCATTTTTGTTAGGCAAACTGGTAGGCTTGTATATACACTCTGGGAAGGATCACAATTGTGAAAAGGTAAACTTGAAAAAAAATAACAAAAGTGGTTTTCAAGTTTGCCTGCCAATTATTTTTTTCCCTGAATTTTGAACTTTCCTTAAGCTCAACCTTATTAGCACAAATTCTTGCATTTAGCCACGGAATTGATTTCAGCTCTGTTAGATGCAAAGTGCAACTTGACCATTGATTCATGAACCTTTTCTAAGTGCTCATAATCATATCGGATAAAACTCTAGTTTCATTCTTATAGAACTTTCTTGTTTTAGCAAATCTGTAAGTTTATTTTCTATGGCTAAGCTTATAAGTTTTATTTTTTCTCGAACAAGTCTGGATAGCTGTGTGCCATTTGATAGAAGAAAAAGAGTAGCGCATCAGTTGTTATACACTGTAACACTGTTTAACTCCACCTTTATACTTCATTTCAATGACAGATTTGCTAATAATGTCTTTCATTTTGCAGTTGCAAATTTACTGTTCCTTGATTCACCTGTTGGTGTTGGTTACTCATATTCAAACACCTCTGATGATGCTTTAAAAAATGGGGATGCGAGAACTGGTACTGTAGTCCCTGCACTGTTAATTATCTTGTTACATGATATTCCTTGTCCTGAATGAATTTCTATTAGAATTTTCTCACTGGTTCTCTCAATATTTCACAGCCACGGATTCATTGGCGTTCTTACTGAAGTGGCTTGAACGCTTTCCTCAGTACAAGGAACGTGAATTTTATTTGACAGGAGAGAGTTATGCTGGTGAGTGCCTTCTATGAAATTATGTTTTGTGTGTATTAACAACTGTTTTTCTAAAAACATGGCAAAACTTTGACGGAACTCCAATTTGGTTAGGTCACTATGTTCCTCAACTGGCTCAAGCCATAAAAAGGCACCATGAGGCTACTGGTGACAAATCAATTAATCTAAAGGGCTACATGGTATGTTTTTGGTAATTCTGCCTTTACTTCTCCAATACCATCAGCTAAATTAGATATTTCTTGTTCTATTTATAATTTACTTTGCAGTTTTTGTTGTCCCTTACGTCCTTTGTCCTTGTCATAAAAGAACCTTAAACTTTTGATTTGCAAATCAAGTGTTATGTTATCCTAATTAGTATGTTGGGCTAATGCAATGGTTGACTGGCCTTTGTCTGCTACCCATTTATATGATGTTATCCTAATTAGTATTGTTATGTTTCCTCATTGGCTTTGCTTTATTGGTTATAAAAAAAAAACTTGACCTGCAGGGGGTATGACGGCCCCCGGGCATTTTATAAGAAGGATGATCTTCTCACACAGATCGAGAAAACTCCCGAACCCCCGCCCCCATCCTGACACAGCGGAATCCGTTGCCCTGTGAGAACCGGGCCGGGCCGTTCTGCGCTTTGGCTTATGGGGACAGGTGAGGGGATTTTTTTACCCCCAGCCTGAAATTCGCTCCCATGGGGAGTCGAACTCAGGACCTGAGGGGTGCCGCCGGAATTCCCTAACCAAAGGGTCTTATTTGCTTTATTGGTTATCAAATGATCTTATTTGATAGCTGGCTCGTATCTGTATTGAGATGTATTTTGAACTATACCATAACACGTAGAACCAGAATTATAGTGTTGTTTCGTTATATTTGAGTCATTTCATGCAGGTAGGAAATGCTCTCACTGATGATTTCCATGACCACTATGGAATATTTCAATTCATGTGGACTACTGGCCTGATCTCTGATCAAACATACAAGCTGCTGAATGTTTTCTGTGACTACGAGTCCTTTGTGCATTCCTCTCCACAGTGTGATAAGATTCTTGATATTGCTAGCACTGAAGCTGGAAACATTGATTCATATAGCATCTTCACACCTACATGCCATGCATCTTTTGCCTCCTCAAAGAACAAAGTGATGAAAAGGCTACGTGTAAGTTTCTGAAATCCAAAACTCAAGCAATAGTACATAGTTTCAGGAGTACATGCGTTGCAATGAAAATCAATCGTAAGTCCTAAATGCTCGTGTTCAAATTCATCATCCACATGTAGACATTTGATTTTGTAAATTTATATAATAAACAGTAATGATAAATATCATTGATTATGCGAATTCTCTATTGTTGATCCTAATGCCACACCAACATGCATACACCAATAGATGCATAGAAATTAATCCAAGGTGAAAGTAGCAGAACCTACCAGGCTACCACCAACCCTATTTGTTATAATAGTACAGACTGAAGATATATCACTACATTTTGACTCTGCTGCATATTTATGTGTAAGTTACATGACTGTTGCTTTCTCCCGAAAATGAAAAGGAATATTGCAGTTTTAGATTCACTGTTAGTCTCTTTTTTTAACTTTAAAATTCTCAAAGGAGTTCCCCATTTAGGTGCAACTTTGACTTACATAAACTAGAGGGAAAAGGAGTCACTTGGGTGGGTCTGTAGTTTACAGTCCCATCCTAATTCCGGTATCCCAGATCGGGGTCCAGAAACTACCAAACCAGGAGATTTGGGCTACATGTATGTATATTGTTTTAAATGGATTGCGTAGAACATTATTAATGTTAGATGAGGCAGAATGCTTAAAGCAAGATACAAAATTTAAAAGGACAAATTGGAAGTGCACCACAATCTGGTGGCATCAACTGGATTCAGTCTGACATCTAGTTCTGCCCTGGATGCGCAGTTTTAACTTCAATTTGTGAACCTTGATCTATACAGTTGATTCTGTGTGTGATAATGCGAATGGAAACATCTAACATTTAAACTGTTATCGTTCGTGAGCTGACAGTTCCACATATCTTCTGACATGATTTCTTTTATAGTCTGCTGGAAAAATGGCAGAGCAGTATGATCCATGCACTGAGAAGCATTCAATTGTATACTTCAATCTAGCTGAGGTTCAGAAGGCACTTCATGTTAATCCAGTCATTGGAAAATCAAATTGGGAGACCTGCAGGTAACTCTTATGGTTGTGTTTTAGACATCTGATGCTGTCATTACCCTGACATGTTGGATCGTGAATTCTTGATTATGAACTAACAAGTGGTTCATCTTATAAATTTGCTTCTTTGCTGACAAGTTCTTGTTTTTTTATTTGTAACTGCACTGTTCATTTTGGCAAAAATAAAAGATTATCTATTTAACTTTCCACTAATCCACTGCATGCTGTATGGTTATTGATCTTATTACTGCCACAAGAATAATTTTGGATCTGGGTGATTATATAAGCAATTCTACTGTAACATGTTTATGCTTTTCAATATGAATATACATTACATGGATTGAGTTTTTCATTTCTCAAGGTTATTTCATAATTCATACTAATTGAATTGTATTAATGAATATCAATGACACAAAACACTGATAAGCATATTTGGTCATTTGGAAACTTTTTTCTTTTGTTGTCTACTCTTTTAATATTATATTATATTTTGGCACTGTCAATCTCTACAGTGAAGCTGTTAATACTCATTGGGGGGACTGCGAAAGATCTGTGCTGCATATCTATCAGGAACTTATACAGTATGGCCTTCGTATATGGGTGTTCAGGTGATTCCTAATACTGAGTTTTGAAGGACAAGTTGCTACCCCACCCAAACATAGTTCTTATATGTCTTTTACTGAGTTTTAAGAATCAGTTTGGCTTGTTCTAAAGAAAAGAACTGGTTTGATTTCTTGGCTCATCCAGAAAAATTGGGTATAAATTTGTTGTAAATAACCAGTTTATATATGCATAAAAATTGTAAACAAAAGTATTACATCGATGAAAGATATGGATTTTTCTCGTTCTTATTTTTCCCCAAACTTTTCCAGTGGAGATACAGATGCAGTGATTCCAGTGACTTCAACTAGATACAGTATCGATGCTCTCAAGCTTCCAACAATAACTCCATGGCATGCTTGGTACGACGACGACGGCGAGGTAGGTCCTTCCTCACCTCAGCTCATGGGTCTTCAATAGGACTAGCAGCTGCGCCTGTTCATTTTGTGGTGTGTTTCTGCATATTTTTGTCCTCAGTATCTCTCTAACCAATAAATCTGAACAAATTAATGCCACCACAGTCATCGATGTCATCAGAGTTATGTTGTCCATTCTTGCTAAAAGACAAGGAAATAATAATTATGTAATCCATCGAATATTATTGTTTTGCATCCATTACCTCTGCCTTACATTTGTACATCTGCAGCTATGGCACCTCTTCCCTGTGCAATTCATTTTTATGAACCATATCTATATTTGGGACTAAATTCTGTTTTGATTGCAAACTTAACTTACGTTTGTCAAATTACAAGTTTTAACTTTTACATAAAATATATCCGTAGCAGTGTGCACTGTGCACAATTCACTACAGACAGTTCTATATTTTGTCCCTTGAATGCTACTCAAAGCTTGAGAAATTAATGCTAGGGAATGGAACCACTGGACACAGAACTCTAGCTCCTTGGGAAAGAAGTTCCACAATCTACATTTGGCATTCCTAAGCCGTTTTAATTCACAGGATGCCCCATGTACTTTGTTTCAGACATATCACAGGGTGTGCTAACATTTCATTGAGTCTGTTAAGCATAAGCAATTGCACACGTGGTCTTAGCTGTAGAAGTCTGTACATGCCCTACTTGACCACCTAGGTCAAATGGGAAATTCCCAAATGTTGGCCACATGCTACTTGTAATATTTTCCTTTTCAATTGGGACCCACTGTGACAAGATACCAAGAAATGTCATGTAGTGGCATTTGGACAAACATAAAGTCCCATCAAAGTACGTGACCCTCATCAAGGACATGTACAAATGTTGTGACTAGTGTTCGAACAAACAATGGTAACACAAATTACTTCCCGATTAAAATTGGACTTCATCAAGGGTCAGCCTTAAGCCCGTATCTCTTTGCCTTGGTAATGGATGAGGTTACCAGGAACATGCAAGGGGATATCCCTTGGTGTATGTTGTTCGCTGATGATGTAGTGTTAGTGGACGAAAGCCAGGCAGGAGTAAATAGAAAACTAAAGTTATGGCGGCAAACCCTTTAGTCTAAAGGTTTTAGATTAAGCAGGACTAAAACCGAATACATGAGATGCGACTTTGGCGGAGTTGTACAGGAGAAGGGAGATGTAACTTTGGAAAGTCAAGTAGTGCCTAAGAAGGATATCTTTCGGTATCTGGGATCGATGCTACAGAGGGATGGAGATATTGATGTGGACGTTAGCCTTAGAATCAAAGCAGGGTGGATCAAGTGGCGACAAGCTTCTGGCATTCTCTGTGACAAGAGGGTACCATAAAAGCTAAAAGGCAAGTTCTATAGAACGGCGATTAGACCGGCTATGTTGTATGGAGCAGAATATTGGCTTACAAAGATTTGACATGTTCAACAACTGAGTGTTACAGAAATACGTATGTTGCGATGGATTTGCGGTCATACAAGAATGGACCGAGTTCGGAACGATGATATACGTGATCGCCTAGAGGTAGCACCAATTGAAGAAAAGCTTGTCCAACATTGGTTGAGCTAATTTGGCCATGTCCAAAGGAGACCTCTAAAGGCACCAGTGCATTGTGGAGTTCTAAGCCAAGCTAATAATATGAGGAGAGGTAGAGGAAGACCGAAATTAACATGGGGAAGACATCAAAAAATATTTGAAAGCTTGGGATATACCTAGAGATCTATGTTTGAATAGGAGTACTTGGAAAGCAGCTATTGAAGTGCCTGAACCGTGACTTGGGGCTCTTGGTGGGTTTCAACTCTAGCCTACCCCAACTTACTTGGGACTGAAAGGCTATGTTGTTGTTGTTGTTGTTGATTGGGACCCACTGTATTTTACTGGTCTTTGCTCTGCATAATTCCTTACTATCGTTTATTTGATTCTTCCTCCAAAAACAAGTTCTTTGGAGTACCCATCATCTAATCCTAATTTCTGATTATTATGTGTTTAAATAGGTCGGTGGATGGACTCAAGGGTACAAGGGACTCAATTTTGTGACCGTGAGGGGAGCAGGTCATGAAGTTCCTCTTCATCGACCCAAACAGGCTCTCACACTAATCAAATCATTCTTGGCTGGGAGCCCAATGCCTGTGCAATCCAGTACACACAGCGACATGTAATCTGTGCTGTCACAACTGATTCAAGAGATTAACATCCCAAAGCACCCAAATCAGCCAATTGTTCAACCCAGCTTGTTCTGCAACTTGCTATAGCTGTTTATGTATCAGAGCTACTGGTGCCGGTTACCGTAGCTGTTTATTTGTCAGCCCTGGTGCTTGGTACCAATTATCCCCTAAAACAGGGGACAGAACTGCAGAATAGTTTTTGTTGCCATGGAACTGATACCACGTGTTACTGAGTTTTAGGGGAGAGCCCCAGTCTTTCAACTATAGCCAAAAGATGTGTTACCGACTTACCGTGAGCCTAAGAATAAATTTGCATCAGCGTCACAGCACTGCATTCTAAACATCGTACCATAGTCTTTTCTATGCACAAGGTGTGATTTCTGATGTCTGCAATAAATGATCTGGACTTGGAAAAAAATGAAATACTGCTGTGTTGTATCTGTGTGATCTGTATTATTTGCTTTCTAGAGGACTTCATAGTTTAGAGATATAAGCATGGTAGAGTGTTTTTCTTTCACAACAAATTAGTGAACAATATTTTTCAGCCTTGCTTTTAAGTGAAACGAACATGGCCATCTTCCGATGGATCATGGTGAATGATTCATTGCTGTCCATGTAACACCCTCGGTGTTACGTACCCGTTTAACAATAGTTTAAGGCTTAATAAAACCTAATAAATAAGTTTTCTATGCTTGGTGATAAATTCTTGTATGAAATGATACGGTACATGTTTGTTTAAATCACCTTTTGTGAATATAGTCAACATGTGTGAGGTCAACCAACCTTGATTTTGTGCTTAAACATCTCTAAATGAGATTACGAACAAAAGTTATTTAGGGTAATGTGGGGAAAATGATTAAAAAATGTCAAAAACCCTAATTAGTGTTAATTGCTCAATAGCTTTTTGGAGGATAAATAAATAATTATTTTATATAGAAACTCTAAAATATGCCTATGTGAAAAGCTTAGTATAAGTTTTGTACTTTGTAGTGGAGTGCTTGCTTGCACCTAGTTTTTATGTTTGATAGATCAGTTAAGGCTCCAAAGTTTGAATCAAACTCAGTTTTCTAGAAAACTTAGAAAAATTCTAAGTCACTGGAATCAGCCTAACAAACCAAAGTTGGAGCATGTTTATTTCCTAATCCGTGATGCTAATGACAGTTGTCCATTAAGCAAAGTTGGAGTTTGCTTTGAGTTGAAGATATTTTTATACAGGACGTGGGACCCATAGCTTGACCGAATCCACTGCATAGTCATCTCAAGCCGGGCACATGGACACTGCCGTCGCCCATGCCTGCTTTGCCCTGCCTGCGCTCTGGGCACGCACAGTGCGCGCCATGGCCGCCCACGTCGCGCTGCTCCCTCTCCCTCCCTTCTTTTTTTGCAGGCCGAGGTCGCCTTGCTTGTCCTCACAGTCCATCTCCCTCCCTCTCTCGGCTCTCTCCCTCGCTCCCTACCGTAGGAACGCGAGCGTGCCTGCCATGGTCGGCTCCGAGCTCCCTTTGACACCGCCGCTTCCACCGCTCTGCCCTTCTTCGCGCTCGACTGCCGTCACCACCGCCTCCTCCTTTGCTCCCCTATGTGCCACGCCATGTACTTTGGAGCCCACGCCGTCGGAGCCACCACGCCCTCGCGCCACCCGTCACAAGACAAAGCTGCGCGCGCAGCCAGCTACCACGCCAGAGTGGTGCCAGGCCAGGGTGCGCGCCAGTGTTCGCCTGGCCACACACACAGCCCGTCCTCGTCGGCCGCCGCGCCCCACAGCACCGCCGCCATCATGCAACCGTCCTCCACGGCCGCCGTGTGTGTGGCCCGACACGCCACCATTGCTCGCCGAGCCGCCGCCGCCACCACATCGCAGCGTGTGGCCTTGCCACTTCACAAGACCGCCCTCGCCCTCGGTGAACGGGCTGTGTGGCGCGCCCCGAGCACCTCCTCTGCTCGGTGAAGACGAGGAAGAAGAAGAGAAGGACCTCGCGCCTAAATAGAAGCTTTTCCAGGGTTTCCAATGTAAATCTCTTGACTCACATGAATAGTGTTCTTGTACTGTGGGTTGATTCAGGTAAAGCTCAGGGGCCTCGGTGCAAAGTGTTTGTCTTTTATGGTTTTTCCTTTTCTTTTATGTTTAAATCGGCTGAAACTTTGAAAATTCATAGTAAATCTTAGAAAATCATAAAAATACCAAACCAGTTTTGTTACACTCCACACAACTAGATCTATGCAGTAGATACATAATATGACATGTTTTAGTACAAAAGTTTTGCTATAGATATTTGCCTATGCTTTTTATTGTTAAATTCATATCTGTTGTTGTATGAATTCAATTGCTGTGAAATTTTTATGGTAGGTTAATTGTTGCATGCTTGTGTTGTGGTAAAAATTTCATGTTCAATGAATGTTTATTTACTGAGTTATTGAATTATCATGTGTCATATGCCTTTATTGCCATTAAATCTTAGTTAACTGTTAGTAAATAATATGCTTATCCAGAAATTATGAAATTCATGGAGTAGTTATGTTTAGTTAAGATGTATCACCCATAAATTTTTCATGTCCAAAAGAGATGTTTGGTGTGCCACCTTTTTATTCCTTGGTTATAATTATTTAAGCTTTTATATATGTTCGGTGTTTAGATTAGGGTTAATGTAAATTTGTCTATACTACTTGTTTTACATGATGCATAGGCAAAGTGTGTTTAGTAAGTAGAAGTGTGCTTGGCATGTTATGATAAGCTTTCACTTGTATGTTTAAAATGCAAATGGTTGTTTTGCTCGCTTGTGTGAATAGTAACTCGCAAGTAAGTCGCTAGGAGATGATGAGAGTCGAACCTCCAATGTTTAGTTACCCTTCACCGTGATGACGTGTTGCTTGTCTTGTAGTGTTTGTAAATGTCTTTGTTATGCTTGTTTGATTTAAGCATGCATTGCATTATTGCATATCATTTAGGCATGACGACAAACCAATGAATCAACTGAAGGATGTGACGTTAAGCGGAAAGATAGTGTATTGGCAACCGAGTCCAGGAGATGGAGATGGTCGGATCATGTCCCGAAGATGGAGGAATACTAACGTAGTATAATACAAGTTACCCAGGCAAGCCCCGGTGCATAACCCCTATTTTTCGAGCACTTATTATTCTGTTGTTTGTGCATTAAATTGCAGGAGTTGCTTGAAACCCACTTGCATAAATGTTTTATCCTATGAGTCCTACTAGTATGACAGGAATCGTGTAGTATGCCATGCTATAGGACCTACGGTAGAAGTCGGGTGATGGACCGTCACTCGTGAGAGATAGGTCATGGCTATTCTGCTACTACTATCACATGAACTTGAGGTGCTGGATAATAATTGGAGACCGAGACGGGACCATGGACTTTGGTTTGGATGTGGTTAGTTATATCAATAGAGCGAGGCTCTGGTTGCATTAGTCCCGTCTGTGTCTATTAAGGACCGTACCGTTGGTAGCGTTGTGGCAAGTTTAAAGGTACCAAACACATAACAGGGGCCTGAGTTACAATTGACTGTGAAGCTAAGTACTGTCTTACAACTAAGGTGCGCAAAACGTTCACCGAAGTGTTTCTCTGGCCATTCTAGCGGCTGTTTTTGGGACGGAGAATGTCCATGGTAAAACTTATGAGGGGGAAACCCGTCGCCGGTTCACGGGGCGGGCCTCATAGGTTCCCCGGGGTGGTCAGGTTATTTAGGACCTTGGTTGTACGATGGGAACGGCAACCTTGTACTTGCTCCTTCGAGAAGTACGGGCGTGTGTTTGGGATTGCCCAGCTGAAATGTACATCGATTGCAATCGCCGTCCTCCTCGGATATGGATACCACTTGTCGTATCATTGCCATCGTAGTTAATGCATCTGGAACCTGGAGATGATGATATGGTTATTGCTGGATCATGAAATATGCTTTGGTTGCTTACCACATGCTTGAAAGCAATTCAGACGCTTACCTAGAATGGCTAAGTAATAAACTTTGTGTGACTGCTGAAAATTTGAATATAAGGATGCACTATTAGTAACGCTTCTCTGCAAAACAACTAAACAGCTAGCCAAATAACCCCACATATCCTTGAGAGTCGGGAGACTACTCCCACCTAGTCGGATAAGTCTTGCGGAGTACATCGTGTACTTAGGGTTTTATTTCCCCCTGTTGCAGGTAACAGCTGGCTGTTGGAGCTGAATGTTGTGTGTGGATACCTCTTAGTGGGCTCAGCGAGGCTTTCTTTGTCGCCACGATTGTAGAAGTTTTACTCTTCCATCTCTCCTTCTCCTTCAATATTCAAAATTGTTAACTTCCGCTACTTTTGTAAAATGATCTTTGTTCCGCTGCTTTTATGAAATCTATTTTAACTCCGATTTTATGTAATATTGTGATGTATGAAATGGTTAATAAATGACGTAAGCTTTATTCACTTGTTTATGGTCCTGATGAAAACGTGGATTTTCGAGTCTCCCCGTGGGGTGTACTCGACAAACTACCGAGTTTAACTTAAAATCTCTGGTGTACTTAGTGTCAAATGACCGATAAGTATACTTGGTATTAGGTTAAATTGGACGGTTCTACCTGAGTCAAGACTGCAAAGCTATTGCGGCAGCCTCCACAGGAACATGTTTAATTTGTTCCTGAGGTTGCGGCACACAATTGACATATGTACTAGCTGGTGATAAACCTGAAATGGAGATGTACTGTCCTGATCCTGTTTTGAAGCTGTTTAATCATTATCATCTGATGAGCCGAAACTAACAATCATCAATAGCATTCATTCATCTGTGATTAAACACAACATGGTACCCAGCAACCAGCATTGATCATTGGTATGGAAGGCAGATATCATAAATTCGTCATGCTAGTATTACAATTGGTCTGAAACTCTGGACATGAAGTAGTGGCGCATGATCGGTAGTTTGATACAAATATCTTGGTAGGAATCTTTGCCATTCGTGATCTTATCCTAATTTTGCACTTGCATGTCTTGTCATTGGAGG